ACATATCCCATTGTGTCCCATTGATTGAAGAGGGCAGTAAAAATGTATGGGAAAAAGTGATTCTGTAAATAGTTTTGGTCTCAGCTACAAATGATTTTTTGCTTGTTTATTTTCTTTATCTTTAGATTCACCCAGAATTATATGTTGATAAATCAAGGGGAGATAAGCTACGGATAAATATAGACATTGCTTTTCCACATATGCCATGTGCTTGTGAGTAAAGGGTATTGAATTTCGATTTTTAGTTAATTGAAATGATGTAAAATGGACATTCCTTGGCTTCACATAGTATTTTATAATATTTTAATTAATCTTCTGAGGAATAAGTGTCTGGAACCTCTGCAAAGTAAAGTAAGATTTTACCTAAAATTAAAAGTAAGATTTTACTTAAAAGCCAGTACAGTCCTAGACTGCTTTAACAGAAGGATAAAACGAAGATCACACAAAGTGTTAGTACTACTTTATAATGCCTTGTTATTACACCACACTTGCATCCAGTTTAGCTCGCCATGATTAAAAAGATTGAGACTCTAAAAAGTGCAGAGAAGAACAACAAAGATGACTAGGAGACTAAAACATATGAGCAACATTTGCAGGAATTAGGTATGTCTAGTTTAATGAAAAGAAGGACTAGGGGTGACATGACAGCAGTGTTCCAATATCTCAGGGCCTGCCACAAAGGAGAAAGAGTCAATCTATTTTCCTGAAACACTTGAAGGCAGCAGAACAAGAAGCAATGGATGGAAACTAATCAAGAAGAGAACCAACCTAATCCTAACAATTAGAACAATTAATCAGTAGAATAATTTGCCTCCAGAAATTGTAGGTGCTCCAAAACTGGAAAGTTTTAAGAAGAGATTGGACAGCCATTTTTCTGAAATGGTATTGGGTTTCCTGCCTGAGCAGGGGGTTGGATTAGAAGACCTCCAAGGTCTCTTCCAACTCAGTTATTCTGTTAAGATGGATGCTGATTACAAGGTAGTAGATTGAACTGGTAAAAGGAAGTACTACACTTAAGGGTTCAGACATAAACAACAGTTAGATATAAGTAAATGTTGTTTAACTTGTGCCATGCATCCTTTTTTAATTTTCAGTAACGTATAGTATTGATTCAGAATTCTTACCTTATATCTTAGCTAGTATGATTATGATTCTACATTGATTTTTGATTATCCAGTCTTCTAATTGCTATAGTTTTAAAGAAAACTTCAGCGTTCTTGTTAATGGCCCAATAGATATGTTGTGTACTATAATTGTGTACTATAATTGTCTCACAAACATCGGTTTGGAACAGTCCTTGTTTGTTACTTACAGATTTAAGCATTGATGCAATGGATGTGGCTGGAGAGCAACAATTAGATGTTGAACATAATCTCTTCAAACAACGCTTGGATAAAGATGGCAAGCATGTGACTCCAGAAGCAGAAAGACATGGTAGAATAGATATACTGTTCCAGTGTGGGAGCAGTATTGCAGACAAGATGGTAACACTGGGTTTAGTTTCATGACATCTGATTTTCAGGGTATAAAAGTGACAGACTGGCATAAGTTTCTATTGTGGCCAGATATTCGGTACAACTAATAGAGATGGACCAATATTAAGAGCCATGGTGGTGCAGTAATTAGCATGCAGCATTGCAGGCTAATTCTGCTGACTGCCGATTGTCAGCGGTTCGGCAGTTCAATTCTCACTGGCTCAAGGTTGACTCAGCCTTCCATCCTTTCGAGGTCGGTAAATGAGGACCCAGATTATTGGGGGCAATATGCTGACTCTGTAGACCGCTTAGGGCTGTAAAGCACTGTGAAGCGGTATATAAGTCTAAGTGCTATTGCTATTAATGATGTTTAAGTATGCTCTACACCAGGGGTGGCAAACTCGATTTCATTGAGGGCTGCATCAGGATTGTGCTTGACCTCGGGGGTCCAGGGTGGGTGTGACCAGGGTGGGAGAGGACAGCTCAACATCACTTGTGTTGAGGGTGCCTGTGGTAGCCCCAGCACTCTGTCAACGAAAACGGGCTCTTGAGCTCCATTTTCGGCTGCAATAGCCTCCTGCAGCCCTCTGCCAGTGAAAATGGATCTTGGGAGGGCTGAGAGCTCTATTTTCACTGGCAGAGGGTTGCAGGAGGCCGTGGCAGTTGAAAATGGAGCTTGGGAGCAACGGCAGAAGCACCGCAGGCCAGTCCTTCACTGTTTCCCGGGTGGCCCCGCGGCCCAGATCTAAGTATCCCACAGGCCAGATCTGGTCGCTGGGCCTTGAGTTTGGCACCCCTGCTCTACACTGATATACTTAGTCATACATTATTTTTACAGTTTTTATGTCTTTGTTTCAGAATTAGGAAAAGAAGAGGAACTTTTCTTTGATCCAAATTCATTAGATCCTGAACGCTGTGAAAGCTGTTATGGAGCAGAATCTGAAGATATCAAGTATGTTTTACTTTTCTTTCTATGACTTGGAAGAAAGAAAATGATTTTTTTTGCGGGGGGGGGGGACTGCAGAGCGATGCCATTTTCTGAATTTACTAAGAAGAATTAAACTTATGGTCGTTCGTAGTTTTGTTGATATTCTTCCATGTTTTCTTGCCTAAAACATCATATGGGTTTATTGGGCTTTTCATTATTAATAGAGAGTAGGGAATGGATTTCAGTGAACTTTTTCTAGTAATAGCAGAGAGATTGAATTTGAAATTAGTGGAAGTTTCAGCCACTTAATTTGGGTTTGGATTGAATCGCTGGTTTCACTCCAGGGTAAACCCTTATTAGGTCCCAAGGCAGATAGCATTGAAAACTGTGCGATAGTTTTGCCTGAAACAAAGCTGCTTATTTATTTTTATTTATTTGTTTTGCCAAGTGTTTATAAGATAATAGATATAAGTACATAGAAGTTTATGAATACATGAAATGGATACGAATAAATGGGGTTGTTAGGACAGGGATGGTAGGCACGTTGGTGCGCTTATGCACGGCCCTTACAGACCTCTTAGGAATGGGGTGAGGTTAACAGTAGACAGTTTAAGATTACAGTTGTGGGGGTTTGGGGAAGAAACCACAGGTAATGCATTCCAGGCATTGAACATTCTGTTGCTGAAGTCGTATTTTCTGCAACTGAGTTTGGTATGGTTTACCTTAAGTTTGTATCTATTGTGAGCTCTTGTATTGTTGTGGTTGAAGCAAGTACCATATTTTTTGGAGTATAAGACGCACCAAGGTTTTAACGAGGCAAATTTTTTAAAAAAAGTTTTTGTACTCTGCAGACCTCCCAAAAACAGTCCATTTTTCATAAAAATGGGCCCATTTGTTTTTTTAAAAGGGCATGAATAGCCTTTAGGAGGCTTATCGAGTGCTCCTGGGGGCTGGGGGAGGGCAAAACTGATTTAAAAACAGTGCATTTTTCACTCATTTTTGCCCTCGCTAGCCCCCAGGAGCACTCTGCAAGGCTCCTAAAGGCTCTGCACGGCCATTTTGGTGAAGGAGGAGGGGTTTCAGAAGGCCAAAAATGCTGTATTCAGTGGATAAGACATACTCAGATTTTCAGCCTCTTTTTTGAGGTAACAAGGTCTGTCTTATACTTTGAAAAATACAGTAGTCATTGAAAGGTAGAACATTGTAGTAGATAATTTTATGTACTACGCTTAAGTCAGACCGAAGGCGGCGTAGTTCTAAGTTGTCTGAGTGAAAGTCTTTTATTGCATTATTTTCTTAGGAAAATTACTTGCAGATATTTGTAATACCTACAAATTGTTAATTGCAACAGTAACTTACTATATTTGTGCTATATCCCAAATATGGTCCAATATCCCCTGTAAGTTAGCAGATGTGAAGTCTGTTGCGTTCCTGGGAGCATGAAACATTTCTGTTTAATTCCTCATCTGGAAATCTAATAGATTCTATTCACTCTGTAGGAGCACTTGCCATAGGATTCTAAGCTACCGTATTTTTCAGAACATAAGATGCACCCTTTTCCCTCAAAAAAGAGGCTGAAAATCTGGGTGCGTCTTATACACTGAATACAGCATTTTTTGCCTCCTGAAACCCTCCCCCCTTTACCAAAATGGCTGTGCATAGCTTGTAGGAGGCTTTCAGAGAGTTCCTGGGGGCTGGGGAGGGTAGAAATGAGCAAAAAAGGGCTGTTTTTTGCTCAATTTTGCTCCCCCAGCCCCCGGGAGCACTCTATAAGCTTCCTAATGTCCTTTTTTTTTTTTTTTTTTTTTTCCAAAAAATGGGCCCGCTTTCGTGAAAAATGGGCCATTTTTGCTTGTTTTTGCTCCCCCCCCCCCCCCCCCACCCCCACCCCCCCCCTTGGGGCTTTTTTTCCCTTTTTTTTGGGGGAAAAAAAAAAACCCCCTTTTTTTTGAAAAAGG